ATAATATATAATATAATTTTAAATTAAATATAATAATATTTAATAATATATAATATTATTAATATATTTAGCGATACTTTCATGATAAATAAAAGATAATAAATTTAAAACAAATATTTAACTTTTCATTAAATATCAAATGTATTATAATTACGTAATATGATATTATTTTGATTAGATTAATAATTGTAAAAATTCTTTGTCACAAAGTCGTACAAATTTACAAACAATGTTGATTCAAATCGCGCTTTGCTGTAATCTCAACGGGATCATAAATATAAGCGACAAGCGAGTGGCCATAACTCCACTCAAAAGAGAGAGGAGAGAAGAGAGTAAAAGAAGAAGAAGAAGAAGAAGAAGACACTTTTCTCCAGGAACGTGTTGTTCAAAGTAATTCTCCGATACGTCAAGCTCAAACTCAACGAGGAAACCAACTTAGACATTTGGTAGATCGTAGAAACTGTATTCCAAAAATATGCATAGCGTATTAAGAGAACTACGAACGTATAGTAAAAAATAAAAAGAATATTCTAACCATTATTTCAATTAAATTCACAAAACTTCATATTAATTCGGCTTAAACTTTATTTATAATACATTTATAAATTTAATTTAAAAAAAATATCTTCTCCCAATTAAATCAAATTAATTCAACAAATAAAATTCATCGTATAATTTCGCTTAAAATATTATTATTATTATTATTATAATTTGTTTCATTCTAAGAAACATTAAAAGAAAAATATTTTCATATCAAAACGAAAACTGTCAGAATATTCAAGTATGTATTTGTATAAAATATCTCTCGAAAATTAATTGACACATGTATACTGAGAAATAATAATGCAATTGTAGAAAAGCTACCATCATCTTCATCATCATCATCATCATTATCATCATCATCGTCTAAACTCGATTGTAAAACGTTATCGTCAATATTATCATTCTCACAGTAAGTACAATTTGTCTCAACAAATCTCATCGTAAAAGTCGTCGGTGCGAGACTAGTGTGTTAGAGTGTTGGGTGTGTTGTTGTTACAACCGAGTGAATCGTTCACGTTCGGATAACAAATCGTTATAAATCGTACGTTATATTAACACGAGTTAGAAATCATTTCAACCATTTTCGAAACAAATCAAAAAATTGTCTACAATATATATATATATATATATATATATGATACTTGATTATTATTTACGAACAATTTATGACGATAGTATCGAATAGAAAGGAATAAAGTATTTTTTTGTTTGTTTGATGTATAAAAAATGTCTTACTTTTCTATTATCGCATCATCTTATCGTACAGATATTTTATTACTAATACAACGTATGATCAATAAAAGCACTTCTTTATCTATCATTTTAGATCATTGATAAACACTATTATACAAAAATATATTCATTGGATTAAATCATTTAAATTTGAATGATAAGATTTATGAAATTATTCAATTATTGAAATATTTCATTGTTTCTATGATAACATTTAACCCTTTCGCTACTATAGACCACTATAATGGCCCTCCATAAGATGCCACTGAGATACTACGGACTACTGTAGTGGCCCTCCATAAAAAACCGCGTATTTTACATGCGACGAATATATGCAGTTATAGCACGTCAAATATCCCACATTTTACATGTAATTTTAGTGTTTTGTTTCTTTTGATTAAAAATCGTTAATATTAACAACAAAATTAGTTAAAAATAAAGTGCAATTTTGATGCTGCACGTATTAGCAGCCCGTACAGTAGAAGTAGCACCACGGAAAATACTCCCGTAGCGAAAGGGTTAAGTTTCATATATTTCAGAATTCAATTTAATATGAAAAATGTCTGAACTTATATGTAAAATTACAAATAATTTATTATTGTTCTTATTTGAATGTAAAAAGGTACATTGATTTGTTGTTTAATTGTATTTTAGGATAATAAATAATGTTTCAATTGAACTGGAAACAATTTGAATTTTTCATTTAAATTGAAAAGAGTTAAAATGCGTAGCATTAATCTTGTAAATGCAATATATCTGTTTTACGATCATCGTACGTCCATTTTGAAATAAGTTTGCTATTAATAATGCTCTAAGTTTAGATTTTTCTTATTGAAAGTATATTTAATATTTAGATTTGATGTTACAAGCTTGAAATGTCAAAAATAAGCAAACAAGTTAGCACAAAAAATTCGAATTTTATTGGGGTATGTAAAATACTAAAAAGTTAACATAATTTTAGGTTAATTTCATTAAAATATTATAAACTATCCTAATGGGAATCCAAAAAATACTTGTTTTCACATAACCAAAATGAATTCAAGTGCATAGCATCATTTTTTTCCCGTGCAATAAATAGTGCAACCTTGTTCGTACTGCATTCTTATTAAAACAAGTTTGTATATCATCTAAATATCAAAATTCCACAATTTAATTTATGTATGTATTATTAAATTTACACAAAATATATGAATTTGATATTAGAAACAAAAAATATCCAAAAACTTTTGCATAACAGTGAACAAACTGATTACCCCAAATAACCCAATGTTTCTGATGATGCACAAAATATCAAAAAAAAAAAACTCTGACACAACTTTAGCTGATTATTATTTTAGAGATAACAAATTATCTTAATAGAGATGAACAAAAATCCTTTATTTGTATTTTCGCATAATTGATAACAAGATGAATTCAAATACAACAGTCTCATTCTTATAAATTCATTCATTTGTATTTTCTCATAATTAATAATAAGATGAATTTAGATACAACAGTCTCATTCTTATGAATTCAATATTCCTAACTTTATCCATTCATTGAATCATCATCATAAGAACAAGTTATTAACTATCATAAATAATATCAAAAATGTTGCTGGATTCGATTAGAAAACTTGCCGTAAAACGACTAGAACTATCTTCTGTTAAATGAAATGAAATAAATATAAGTATAAGAAAAAAAAGTGAATGGTAAACTAGTAGTCATTGGTTCAAGACGAGATAATTATTCGTAGGACGAGCTAAAGCTCCTCGATCATTTCGCGAGCATTGCTTTAGGCGTGGCAACACATGTTCTCAGCTCCGGCGTTAGGTGCACGTCGAGTCGGAGTATGTGCTGAGAGTAAGTGTGAGAGAGAGTAAGAGAGAGAGTAAGAGAGAGAATGAGAGGGGTGAGTATACCTATATGCAACGTGTCAGGACACGTGGTACCCGAACCTCTCAGGCTTGCCAACGGCTATTCATTTTACACTACGAACAAGACCCTACGCTACAAATTACCCGATGCGGCTACAAAACCGAAATTAACGGCACACCTCTACCAAACTTTCTCTCTCACTCTAACGCCATTACATTTTCTCTCTTTCTCTTTAGTATCTTAGTTATGTTCACGCGTTACGACAAACGTTACAGTCCAAGCTTCCGCCAAGAAAATCATTCTAACTTCATTTCATCTCCAATGAGATTTCTTGGAACTTCTTAGAGACACAGAACTCGTTTCTACGATTATGTGTATCTTTGGATATTTCACGATAAACTTTACATCCGCCGGCATTTCACTTTGGATTTACTCTTCGTGGGAATGAGAAACTTTCAAACGATTGATCGTTTTACTTACGTTTTTTCTTATATGTTTCTTTTTTTTTTTTTTTTAAACGACAACAATTTTTCTTTTTTTATTACATTTTTATACTTGTTTATCATGGGTAAGTTTTTCTAGTTTCCTTTTTTCATTGGTTATACGTGTCGTTTATTTTGCACGATTAAATATAATAAGTTCTTGTCTCTTTTTTGTTTTTTTTATTCGTTTGTTATTAAACGATACGGTTCGGCAATCTCTTTTCTAACGCTACGAAAATGATTGATCGATTACGTCATTAAATTACCCGGCACATCGATCACGTTCGTTGAACTTTAACCCGTCGCAAATCGTACGTTACGAAGATTTACAAGTAAACGTTGACGACTAAACTGAAGTAAGCAAACCTTAGTTATTACTAATCATTAAATACGGATCTAATTTTAGATGATTATATTTATAATAGTCACGATTATGAATTTAACGTGAAAAAAGAAACAATAGTGTTGACAGAAATAAAACTAGCTGTTGTATTTTTGTAAAAACAATTGAATAAATTTTGCTGAGATAGAATATACGAAATGATATTTCTAATAACGAGGACTCACCTGTAGATTTGGCGATCCTCGGAAGGAGAACTGTGACATGATGTGTCGGCCGCTCAGGGCCGTGATAATCGGGTGCCGCTACGCGATCATCATTTTTAAACTCAGGGACACACTACTTTCATTCGGTTCTTTCTTTTTCACGAGCTTTTTATTTGTCACTTTTTTGAAATCCTCAAAAACACTTTTTTATTTCTATTCTTCTTCTTTTTCTCTTTCTTGAAATATCACAAAAAACTAATGTCACTGTTTTTCGTCGAACTGTTTCTTAATTATCTTCTTTCGATGATATCAAATCGAAATAATGAATATTACGAATGATATATATATATATATATATATTTAGTTGATTACACACACGTTTTAGTTAGGATTATAGTGCACACGAGGATGATGACTATATACTCGGCCCTGGAGGCGCCCTCCCGGCAGATGCACTCTCACTGTCACACGCAGAGACACACCGGAGGATCCAGACCGTAGGATCGAGCGTGTTAAAGAGGGGGAGTAAGATAGATAAAAAAGAAAAAAAGAGAGAGAAAGATATTACAATATTTTTCTTCTTCTCTTTTCTTAATCTTCTTTCATCTCAGCACACCAGCAACAGCAGCAGCAGCAACAACAATCCAACAAGTCTTCTCGGTTTCAATTTCCTCCTATCTCGTCACTCAACTTCTTATTCAGTTTTTTTTTTTTTTTACTTCTTTAATTTGATCAGCTCACCAAAGTGAAATATAAAACAAAACAAAAATCCAATGTGAACTGCCGATGACATAGACGAACACTTATCAAAACTAACGAATCCGTCGGACGTCGTACAGTACTTTTCTTCGTTCACCACTTGTACACAACAAAACTCGATTCTCTCGTTGACTTTTGAAATACTGAAGAATACAAAAACCCAATCAGATAGATCGATGAGGGATTAGTATAAGGATTGAAAAAACTTTGAACTATGATTTAAAGTTAAATCCTTCCATCACAATGTTGAAAAACGTCAATTCCAATAGAGTCCAAAAACGAAGTGACGATCGGTCGGTGTTAAACGCGCGGGGGCACGCGCGCGCGCACACACACGCACAGTAGTTTTAAACCCACGAAGGATAGTCGAAGCGCGCGAGGTTTGGTATAGAGTTGTATAGTGCGTTGCGAAGTATATTAAGATATAACAACAACAACAACAATAACAACAATAATAATAATAATAATAACAGGTGAAACAGTAGTAGCACACGAGATGATAGCCTGGAACTTTTAGGGATTGACGATGAAGAGACAACGAGAAAGTTGTCATTGACAATGATGACGACGACTATTATGACGATTACGATCAAGTTTAAGTAAGAAGAATAAAAAATAATGTTCCCGATGAAGGGGGGAAACAAGCTAGGAAGGCAAGCAAGCAAGCAAGCAAGCTATCAAGCGAGCAAGCAAGCAAGCAAGCAATTCTCGCGCGCGGGCTGGTGCTAGCAACGAGGCTGCTGCCCAGCGCACGTCGTTGATCCGATCGACGCGCCAGCTATGATCGGTCGCGACTATCCTCCGAATCGTCGTTTCTTTTCGACGGAATCCAGTCCTCCGCTTGGTGGATAGGAAGGCGGTGGGTATACGTGAGAGAGAGAAAGAAAAGAGAAAGAGAGAGAGAACACGGTGGCAGCAGTGGCAACGGCGGCGGTGGTGGAGGCGGTAGTACCGTCACCGGTACACTAGTAGTCTCCTCAGAGGAACGAAGAAAGCAAGCTTTTGAAAGAGAGAAAGAGTGAGAGAACAAGTACGGGACGGCTGGTTGCCCTCTGGGAGGAGGGGCGAGGCGCGGAGGGGGAGGAGCGAGAGCGAGAGGGACGGCTCGCGATACTTGGTAGGGAGAAAAGGTTCGAGAGAGAGGGAAAACGAATCGCGCGCGCACCAATTCTTTTACCACCTTTCCTCAAATCCTTCTTGTCCTGCGCGTCTCTACTTGTGCTTGCTCCTCTACACCTCTTCCTTCCTTCCTTCCTATCTTTCTTTTTCTTTCTCGTACTAAATATTTTTTCTTCCCCTCTTTTGTTCTTCTTCTTATTCTAACACCTTGCTAATGATAATTTTCTTTTATATAATACAAAATTTTTTTTTGTTATTACTTTATTCCCTTTTTTGTTTTTATTATTAAACTTTAGTTTCGTACTTGTTTTGTTAACGAATAGTACAGTTGAACAAATTTGTTTCGAGGAACTGTCGAATTTTAGTTTAAAAGTCGTACGTGTAAATAGAGTACGTATGACACACGACACAACACAACACGTGGGCCCTCGGCGGTGCGCGCTCGCTCGCGTACGAGCACGATGTGAGAAAGAGAGAACGTAGTAACTGGTGGTGGGTGCCGGCGCTCTGCCTGCCTGCCTGCCTGCCTGCCGGCTGTGGGATTCCTTTCCCCTTACTCTATAGCTCTCTCACTCGCTCATTCTCTCTTTCTCTCTCTTTCCCTGTTATTCTCTTTCTCTTTTCATCTTCCCTTTCTGCGTTCGTCGACACGTCTGACGACCCTGCTGCTTGTGAAAAGTTACTCCCTTTTCGTTCCTGACACGCGTACAAGGGTTGGCTAAAAGGGTGACTTCATGGTGGGGAAGCTAAATGTCACTTGGATTTCTTCGATCTTCGATTAAATCACTGTTTTAAATGATTCCAGGCTTGTCACGATGATTCCTTGATTGAGGAATTAGATGAAGTGAACCATACACTCGCACACACACGCACGCACCCACATGTACACATGCACGATTAATGACGATCAATCCTTTGGTTCGATATCTCTTCTCTTTTCCTTCCTTCTGCATTGGTTTTGAAAAAAAAGAAAGGGTAAAAATTTAAGCTGGGAGTCGGCTTAACTTCGTACTCGAGTTGGGTGGGTGGGTCCAGGGCAGGGTCAGGGCATGGCAGGGCAGGACAGGGCAGGCCCTGCTAGTGCGCTATGGTGGGGGACAGGTGCCACCTCCGTTGGTGGTAGCCACGCGAATCTTTGTATCTAGTTAGACTGGAAGTCGTGCGTGTAGTTCTTCCTTCTCTCTTCTCTCCTCTTCTCCAACATACTACTACTACCACGACTACTACTATTAGTAATAATAATACTACTACTATTACTACTGCTAGTATTAATACTATTAGTAGGATTTTAGTTCTCCTTCTCTCCTTTCTTAGGGTTGATCGAACGTTCTTCCTTTTGGTCGCGTCGCGAATATGAATTACGAATTTGTTGCCGGTTAACAGGAATATCAAGGGCAACGACAACTGCAGCAGCAACACCACCACCACCACCACTACCAACAACAACAACAACAACAACAGCAGCAGCGGCAACAGCAGCAGTAGCAGCAGCAGCAGGAGCGTTGGCAAACGCGACAATAAAATATGCTGAGTCTGGCCAGCAACGTACACTCTCTCCCTGTTTCCTCTATCCCCCACTCCAACTAGGTCTGGTGCTACAGCCGAGCCTCCTTCTCGATCTCTTTCTCTCTTCTTCATCTATCTTTCTCGCGCCTCGTGACGTTTTCGCCCCACCGTATAGTCTCTCACACTTTCTTCCCTCTTCGTTCAACTAAATGTGCCGACTCCTACTAAAAGTAGTGGGGATGCTGGTTGCTTGTCGCAAGGGGACGCGACGATAGGGGATTTACCAGGCTAGAGCCCCAGACCTGGGGAATGAGTGAGAGAAAGAGAAAGAGAAAGAGAGAGAGCTACTACTACACGACAATTTTAGTTCGATAGATCCGAAAGTTTAGCCTCGGCGGCGCTGCTTTACTTGCCGCTGACTTCTTCCCGGTAGTTTGTTCTCTACCCCCACCATTCCTTCTACGATCCATTCCCCCACCAATACTTCCATTCTTCCTCCACTATTCACTCAGTTTCCCTCCCCCTCTTTCCTTCTTGCTGCACTTCACTTGCTCACACTCCTTCCAGTTCGCTCTTTCCTTTTCAAAGAGATCGTCACTACTTTGTAACCCCCACCCAAAACTTCATCGGCTCACCCACTCCCCAAACGCGCGTTCACGCACAACGCGCGACACTCGACTCTACACAATCTTTCTCTCTCGCTCTCTTTCTCTCTCACACTGCCTGTTTCAACTCTTTTGGTCTCACTCGTACTACAGCGTTCAACGAACCTTTTTTATTTTTTTTCTTCAATGGGCCCAAATCTTTTTACTTGTCTTTTCTTTTCACAGCACACTCAGTCCTTTAACATAAAATACATTTAACAGTAACTTAAATGATGTTACCATTAAAAATGTATTTCCAAAATTATGTGAATATTAAAAAGATGTTAAAAAAGCAAGTTTGTTAAAATCTGTGAACTTTAGTCTCATAACCCATCGCGTTCAGAGGAGACCGACGGTTATCCTCGTGGACGTAGTGAAAGAGAACGAGGAAAGAAGAAACTTGGGTTCGCGCGCGTCGAGTAGCGAAAGTGCGTTTTGCGCAGTTCTTTCAGCTAAAAGTTGGTTGGAGGAAAAGAGGCGGGAAAAGGGGGCGGCAGCCTGTAGGAGAGAACAAGGGGGAGGACGTATCGTTTGGGAGTGTACGATAGTGGGGTAGGGGAAAGAGATCGGAGTCCTCTCACTCACTTCTTTTTTATACCGCGCTTGGACTTATCCTACGTTTACGAAATACATACAGAGTTACATATAGACCCATAGACACACATATATATACATATGTACACAAGTGTGTACGGAATAAGAGTATGAGCAAATATGAAAGATAAAAAGCGTAGTTGAAAGAGATAGGAAGTTATCGAGCTAGCTCTAGCAAGCTAGTCAGAGGAGAAGAGGATGATATTTCTCGTTGACTAGCACCATGTCCAACAGTACAGCATCCCCAAAAGGAGGGGTAAAGAGAGTAAAAGCATAGTAGAACGGATAAATCGTCTCCCCTACCACACTTCTTTCGAATCCCCACTCTTCCTCATTTGGTAGGTGCGGAGCTCGGGTTTTTTCCCCTCCGTGGGCGCGGACACTCGTCGCCACGCCCCCACCTCCTTCGTTCCTATCCCCTCCACTTACTCTTGTTCTCCTCGCAGCCGACTCCGCGAACCACTCTGACTAACTATCTCTCTCTTTCTCTTTCTCTCTCCCCTTCTCCATTTCTACCTCCACCTCCTCCTCCTCCACCTTCTCTTCCTCCCACACCTCCCTCCCCCACCTCCTCTGCCTCTTTACTCGCTACGCTCCGTTCTCTCCTCACGCGCGCTCTACACTCGTCCTTCCTTCCTTTCCCAGGGCGCGTGCTGTGCGCTACCCTCTTGTCGTCCTTCTCGTCAACGTCGGCTATACGCTACTTTGCTTCTTATTTCGTTTTCGTGCTGCTACAACCAAGAAGATCGTACTTTCCTATCATTGGATCAACCACAATCTTCCCAAGAAGAGGACTAATGTGAAACTTCAGTGAATTCCGTTTTGTCTACGATTTTATTACCTCTTCTAAATCATCTTTTAACTTCCTCTTTCTCTTTCTTTCTCTGTCTTGCTTTTAGTCTTCTTCTCACCCCTGTTTACACGCACGTCGATTGCTCTCTCTCCCTTTCTCCCCTTTTATCCTTCACCCTTGTCTTCGAGAGGGCGCTCTACGCTCGCTTATGCGTGTGCTTTGTGTATGCGTGTGCGTGTGCGTGTGTTTAACATGGGATGCGTGCGAATTGTGTTACACTAATTGTGCCCCTTTCGTATTTCCATCATTTTTTCCATCTCTCTCTCTCCCTCTCAATTTTTCCATTTGATTTTTTTTCGGAGTTTTGCGGATTCTTCTCCGAGGATTTTAATTGTGCTGGCGCAAAAGTTCAGTGCTCGTACGAATCAATGTTATCGTATTAAATAAGATCTTCGTTGTTAGATTTTTAAATTATTGATTTAACATAATATTTGACATTCTTTTTTAAGGAAAATAATTGGAAAAATGTTTTCTTTTTTTTGGAAATAAATCGAGTGTTTTGGTGACCCTTTTGACGACGATTTGCTGTGATTTTAAAATATACAATTTGTAGAATGGTGTATATAATTTTGTAATCGAATGAAGTGTACGATTAAGATTAGAGTGTACAAATTACAACAATTTGTTAATCTAATGGTTTTTAATAACGCGACGTTAATAATGTTCGAAAACGGTGTTCGAATTTGAATTTTATTCGATATTTATATCGAATTTGTACCTTTCATAATTTCAGTGTACACGTTTGATGTAAAAAAACGTAAAACAAATTTAGAAAAAGAAAAACAAATGAATAAAGATATCGAAAGTTGGTCGGTGATAAAAGACAACGTAAAAACAAAAAAAAGAAAAAACAAAAAAGAAGAAAAAAAAGGTCACGCGAGTTTACTCAATAGGAGAGAAACTTGTGTTCGTTACTTGCACAATGTTTGATCCCGTGTGCGATACTTGAATTATTCACAAAGAAAATCGTTAACAACGAAAACCACACCAATGTGCTTCGAAATTTTTTCAATACTTGAAAAATACAAAAAATAATAAAATCGTCAAATATAAGCGGCTAAAGAAACAAACAAAAAGGGAAGAAGATGTTCGATGCGTTCAAGAAATTGTTGACACATTATCGTTGATTAATTATTACTTAATAACACATAACAAATAGTAATCGAATTTATATTTAATGTAAATCGTTTCGTTTTACGAACAAGACGAGTTGTGTTATTCGTTAATTATAATAATATTAAGTATATAAGTATATATACTAAGCTTATAAGGTTTGAGCTTTTATGGATAATATTACAAGTTAAAAAACCGTAAGTATGTATCAATATATGTATATATGTATGTATGTATAAATTTATAAGACATAAAAAAAAGAAAAAGAAATAAGTTAGATATAATCAAACTTACGTAACGAAAGTATCGGGATTTCAAGTGTGAAATAATTCTAATGAAATTTAACACAAAAATTCTTTATTACACAGGTAGTGTATACTTAAGTATTAAAACTACGAAACGAATTTTTCTATTAGCTTTTAAAGTGATATTTAACATACCACATATGTATTCTTGTCTCGCA